AGAAAAAAATTACTTTTTATTTGGTTGGTTTTTAACTAGAAGAGCTTTGGAACATTTCCACCTTTACCTGAAACACTTCAAAGAGTGGGCTACTGACAGATAGACAGATCTGAGACCAGAGAGACAGACAATATTAAATCCCAGAGCTGTTTCAACCAGGCTGATAGTATTATATAGGAGCAGTAGGAGAAGGAAAATTGTCCAGATGTTATATTTTTGTGTGAGAACTCATATGTGACTCATGGAGGGGAAAGCACGTTTTTAATATTCAAATGCTATCTATTGTAGGAGGAGGGCTCCTAATTTGACAATATGTATTCTCACTGAGATTACAGTACTGAATGTTAATACTGGTGCTCAGAAATGAAGCAGCAGGCATTTACTTTGAAGTAAGTTGTGGAAGAATTTTCTGCATGCTAGCTATTTTCTGCTCATTATCAGTGAAAGTAGGCTAAGCTACCCTTCTCTCAGACTGTCTGCCTACACTGTAAGATGAAGGAGAGCAGCAAAGCTCAAACTCTGGAGCTCTGACTGCCACACTGCTAACTTACATAATGAAGTGTTAACCTCATTATGATCATGAAGTAGTAGTAGGTGCATGTCAAAGATGTGCAGGAGAAGAATACTTTTAGGTTATTCATGATCTGTTTACAGCTCTGCACTGTTTTCTGGGATCCAAATTTGAGAGCTGAGCAAAATACCTTACAGCATCAGAGATCTAATTCTAAACTGGTATTTTGGTTCAATGTTTTATTTGATTAGCATTTATTTCCCATCAGATAATGTCAATGTCTAGCAGCATACTCAAACTGAGCATCAATTATGACTATGTCCTTTACAGAATTTTTTTATAAAGGCTATGAAAGCCCCCTTTTCAACGATGGTTAATGTTCTCAAAGAGATGAAATGTTCATTCATCAGCATGAAACAAACCCTCTAAGTGATAAAACTCTGGAGTTGTGTGTAAACATGGACTCTGAAGCTGGTTTTGAAAGTGTGTGATGGCTTTGGTAGGATGAATTACTGAGATGAATAGCTGAATTTGTAGGTCATTGCTGTTATTCAGTTCCAAGTGTTGAAGCATCAAACTGCCAGGCTTGTTCTACAGAAAAGAAAGTGTCTTATCTAAGAGTAAAGAATTATTACCTCTTGGAATAATTGCCATTGTCCCTGCTGGAAATTCAAAGGATTTTGAACTTTTGCCTCCTACTATTCAGTTGCTATTTGTGGAGAGATTCCATTAAAAAAAAAAAGGAGTTCTCATTTCTATACTTTACCATGTGAGCAATGTCATTTATCTCCTACTTTTTGTGCAGTATTTCTATGTTCTCTCCTTTGCACATTTGAAACTAATTACTTGGCTATATGTAAGATGGTGTTACCCTCCATCAGTGCAAGGTGGTGAATGTCACAATGAATCCAGGGAAATGTCTCCTGACCAATTATATCTTCACCACATATCCCGGTAAAGAAACAAAGAAACTCCAGTCAGGGAACAATAAAACATCCTTACATTAACACCAGGAAAAAGCCCCACATCCAGAAATGGACTTTCTACCACTATTTATCAAGGAAACTGCCTTTTAAGAAAAGAATCCAGGCCCCTGGGGTTGATTTCTAGGATCTCTCTTTAGCTGTAGAGTGATGGCAGCTGCTTTGTAAGAAGGAAGGGAGACCTGAAAGGTCCCTTTTGGCTACTCTAACTGGAAGTACCTGAAGACCACTAGCTTGAGGCAGACACATAAACAGAGCCTACAGAGATTAGCTGCAGGTACAGCTGTCAGTTCTGAAATTAATAACCTGTGTTATAGATGACTTGTTTTATGTCAATTGTTTCCAAGTGGATATTTAGGTATTTCCGAAAAGATATAATTTAATTTGGAGTGGTTGATGGAGATGAAAAACAGAAGCACATTTCCTTTACCTCCCTGACACTTTCTCAAGAGCAACTCATGGCTGATCTTGGTGTTTCTGTGGTCAATCATATATCCTATTAAGAAACTCTCAAATTATTTCTGTTCACCAGAATGATACTTTTACAAAAGTAGTGTTTAATTATGCGTAGTTAATTCTTTATGAATGCATGTTACAACCAAAGAAATACTCCACTTTTAGTAATAAAGTACAGACTATGACAGTACATGTGTAAGTCTCCAAAAAGGATGTGAAGACAAACCTGAGTATTGCATCCAGACCCACTATACTTAATGGAAAAGTCAAGCCTCTTCTCTCCTCTACCGTAGTAATGAGCTGCAAGTTCTAGCCTAAATGAAAATGTAGATTCCTGTCACGTTGTCTAATTTTTGGTTTTTTTTCTTTTTACAGCTGGTCATCCAGATAGCCAGCTTTCCCCTCTTACCTTGTCTGTATCAGCCATTAAAGCCTAGGTGTATCTAAATAACAGATTAAAGAATTTCCTTGAAACATTGCCATTACCTTTCATTCATTTTTATAAAATCCTGCATTTCTCTAGTGCTATTATTTTTGTTACTACACATGCACATAAAACAGTATTTTTCCTTTGTTGTCTCTTTCAGCTTTATTTCACTCCTCAAATCATAATACATTACCTGAATAAGAATTATATACTAAATGCCTTTATCTCTGGTTTCCCAGAAGGTTAAAATTATTTTATATCAGTGTTCTCCAAGCCAGCATTTTTTGGAAATTATTTCAAGAAAGCAGAAAACACCTCAACCTAAAGAAGAAGAAATTCTCCCTGTTTACAACTGCAATTCAATTACTTTTTTTTGTTGTTGTTTCTGATTTGACCCTCCTGCTTTACAGAAAATATTATGAACAGTTATGAGGCAACATTTTATTAATCAACTATATTGTTGTAACACCTAGAGCAGAAACTGATGTTGCATTGGGGTAGGTGTTGTTCAAGAGATCATTTCTGATGGGCAGCAAATAAACTATCTATCACAGCAAGAACATCTGTGGCAGAAGAAGCTGCTCCTATGCAAATAACACTAATAAAAATGGAAATAAGACAGATGGAAGATCAGTTTCTTAGTAAGATTCTTCCAGAGTGCTTTTCAAAAACCCATCTGTCTTAAAAAATAGGGCCTTGCATTCATTTTTGATGACAAATGAGAATTGCATAGTATGAGAACAACAGGAAGTGAATGCAACTGATGCCAGACTAGCAGTGAAATGGGAGGCTACTCCCATATTGCCCATTTAGAGAATGTAATTGCAGGTGGGTACAAATTGTAATTTGTTCTATGTATCCAGATCTTCTGTTGGTTTTAATCCCTCTGGGCCACTAAAACATGCCTAGTCAGTATGATGGGACATTTAGAAGCTTTAAAGATACAGAATTCTATGTCTACTTTGCCCTTCAAACTGCTGCACTTGGGTAACCGTGTTAGCTGTGCTCTTGCCTCGTTCAGCATCACTCTGAGAGTTGCACAGTAGACATGGTCAGTTGCACAACACTTTTACATTAGGAAATCCATCTCTCTGCAGAGAAGTTTGATTTTTCTTTGGTAGAAAGAATAAAAGGATTTTTTGTGTGTTTCTTTCTTACTTTGGTAATGATATGTTCTTTTGCTTATTGTTCTTTTGTCTTATTTGCAAAGGCAGTAACATAAGCAGGGAGGAAAAAGCAAAAGAATCATATTTGCAAAGTGCTAATATAATCCCATGCTATTAGAAAAATGAAGTATTCAATGCCAGGAATCCCATTCCTTTCCTGCAGAGTTATTTCAGCTTCTGAAGGCTCTGGCTGAAGACTTCTGTCTCCTCACTTTGAATTAATGTATGAAGACGCCATGAGCCTGGCTGAGTCAGACAGTCAGCTCCAGTCCAACTGCTCTAATTAAGTATGATGAGGTGAGAATGCACCCTGTTTCCAGATATTGACCAAAGCTAGACTGCCTCATCTTTTGTAATATCAACAGAACTGACTTGGAGAGTACCAGAAAATGGTTCATGACTCTCTTGCTGACCAAACATTTTGGAGGATTTTCATTTCCTCTTTCACAGAAGTTCAACATGTTAAATTTTAAACCCAAAACAAATGGAAAACTATATCTTCAAAAAGGCACATTAGTTATGTGGTCAAATAATTTTCCACTTCAAAAATCAGTGCATGGGATTCACAAATTAATATTTTACACCACTAAACAAAGAAAAATTTATAGTTTTCTGGATTAAACCCTCACTGAAGTTTAAGCAACCACTCTGTACAAAGTGCTTAGAAGAAATAACATTAACAATCCTTTATCTCAGAAAAGGGGGAATAAGCCCTCCTCACAAATTGTAAATGTTGGGAATAATTGATTCTTGACGTGAGTAACCCTTGAAATTCATGTAAGATGTCAGTAGCAGAAAAATTAAGCAATGGCATGTAGCATGGCCTAAAAATGAGTCCAAGTCAGTTTAAGATGCATCTGTGTTGCCTCTTGAGTTCATCTGGGGAGCTGGCCAGGAAGCTGCTACACTGGGAAATAACCATGAGGTTCATGAAAGGGATAGAAAATATCCAGATGAGTGTTGCTGTAGGTGTCAGAGACTTCCAAAGGACCTCCCTGGTGGGCCTTACTGTGAGAGAGTGGCAGTTTTGCTAGAGTGCTGAGCAACAGTTATGCCACAGGAGGGTGCACCGGGATAAGAAAGCTGTCTGCATGGATAAAGGCATTATACAAGGCACATTATAACTTCACAGGGAACAATAATATTCCAAATAACTTCAATATCTCCTTGTAGAAGCAACGGTCTCAATAATTTCCTTGTATTGCCTCCACCTAACGTTGAGAGGGTAATGAAACTTCACAAATATGGTGTTGCAAGTGTCTCTTTGCCCATATTTTTTTTTCAATGCATGGCAGACAATCACGAATTTGTGTGCTCATCAGCCTATGTTATCAGGTGAACACAACCCCTGCTTTAGGTATGACTCCATTATAACCACTTTCTGGTTAAGAATGACATGTCCAGCAATTGTCCTACTGGACACACATCATTGTCCCAGGTATAAAACGAAATCTTACCTATAACTTTTCCTAGGAACAGTGCCTTTGGGGAATTGAACTGAATGTCAGATGCGGCTGGCAGGCTGTAACTTGTTGGAGGATAGTGATCAAGCTGGAGAAAGAGAAAAGAAGTTATGAGTATTTTGAACTGATCTGCTTATTACAGTGCTACTGAATCAGGTCTACCTTATGGAGTTTATGCTGTCACTTACACCTCTGTCTGATACACTCTGCTTTCATTTTGATAAAGTAAAACCAACAGTAAATACCCTTTCTTCCATATCTACCATCTCCACAGTTCCCAAGGCCTAGAGAATACCTGTATTGGATTTTTTTTTTATTCTGATTGATGTAGAATCCCATCAGTTTTGCTTGCGTGCTTCAATATAATTGCTAAAAATAACAACAGCATCAACAATAAAGCAAATTACTATTTCCGTAGAAACAGATTTCCATTTGGGACCTATGTTACTGCTAATTCCAGATTTACATAGCTGGGAATTCAAGATTAATTCAGGTGCTAGGCATTCTCCTTTTCTTTCAGAAAAATCATAAATTAATAAGACATGCTTATTTGCACTTCATGTTTGTTATTTTCTTGTTGAAAATATTGTGCTATTTGATGGTTATGACACCTACTGAAACATAAAAAATAAATTCAGGAGTAATCATCTTAGTTTAATCTATAAGAAATGCATATTGTCCCCGATATGACACAACAATCACATTACATTAGCACTATTTCCCCCTAGTTTTTAGCTATTAAACAGGAAAATGTGAAGAAAGAGAGTAATAAAATGAATTGCCTATGCTTAGTAATAGTGCTATTAAGATAGTTTAATATAGATTAATAGAGTTTTGATGTTCATATTTCATAAAGGTAATTGAGGTGAATTTTTATCTTTGCTGTTGTTATTTATTTTCTCAGGTTTATGCATTTATTACACAGGTTTAAATAGGACATAACAACAATAGTTTATTTTATTCTGGCCTTACCTTGTCACAAAACACAATAGAAAGTCATAAATGCGATTTAAGACTTTGCAGGGTACAATAGACTGTAAGAAGTAGTTCTGGAGAAATGGCAACAGTAAAGGACATACAATATTTTCACATATTTTTTTGCCATATTTCTAATTTAAAAAAGTTATTATTGTGGATTATTTTTCTTTAGTGGTACTGCAAATGCTCAATTCGGTGGTTAAACGTAAATGAGTGGCAGCAGAGAAATGAAGGAAGGGCTGAATTCCATGCTATCCTGGAATACTGTGAGATCAGGTACTTGGAAAGCCTCTCGGGGTCATGAGTCTGCAGAGGCAATAATCTCAAAACCCTATAATAATTGGAGAAGAGGGCTCCTCTGTTTCTTGTAATGCCCCATAAAATTACAAGAGAGGTGTATATACATAGTAGATAGAAAGGAAAAATAGTCTCTGAAGATCACAAAATATTTAAATATTTTTTTTTATTGTGAGTTGGAATCTGAGCAGTGGTGTTGATCAGACGATCATAAGTCTGATAAAATAAGAATAAATTATAATAATAATTATCAATCTATGATTTAACTTACCAATGTATTGTGGGTATCCAAAATCTGTAGCTATGGTCCAAGTGTTACTCCATTAGAGTAACTATTAGGAACAAGTAATAAAAAATCATCCCTGCCTACTGTACAGACTGCATCTACCTGAGTACGCTAATTGTGTCTGCAGGACATACATCAAAATGAAAAGTCAATTTAAATGATGAACCTGTGTGAGCATTCACATGGACAATTATAAAATATCAAAGCCTGCCAGCTGTGGTGTAATGAAATTCGCTTTGTCTTCAGTTAGCATTCAGGATGTGGAAAGGCCCTAATTTTCCTCATCTTGGAACAGGTTAGTCAGCAGTAATATTGGCCAGATTGAAATAAAAAAAAAGTTCTTCCAGTGACCTCATTTCCCCTTGGGACTTCACCATAGCAAAGCATTCCATCATGGGGCAGAGGCAAAAGATCCTGCCACACGTGGGAATCAGGGACTGCAACAAGGAGACTAATGCTGTGTTACATTGTTGGCTCTAGCAGGTACAGTCAGTTTACTGCAAAGGTTTACTAGTTTAAACTGATCTCTTGTAGTAAGTGAGTGAATAATTGAATCTATCCACTCACAGATATTTTCCAGATCTCATTGAAGTCAAGGAAAGATTTCAAAATGGGTTCAGCTGTGGACTATTTTCAGGGTTTAATGACTGAAGTTTTAGGTTGTTTTGATTCCTGGTTAAAATAAATCTCTATTTAAGAAATGTTTATACTGATTTTCTGGGGCAAGCATTTGTGATCAGTGATAGAGCCAGGTTCTGCTCCACTGTCAGCTCTGGCATTTCTTTCCCCTCTTGTCCCAGGAGGATACCTGTATTGCTTTCCACAGCCAGCTTTGAGCTACACCCTTCTCTAATCCTGGCACCTGGAATGAAATGGTGCACTACAAGACAACAGTCAGGAAATAGTGAAATTTCTGTCCTCTCACTTTTATTGCTTGTCTTTGTACTAAACTAGTATTATCTAATAAAAGAAATTGTTTTCCCCGGAGGCACTGAACCTAGGGTTTCTTTACAGGTCTGTGAGTTAAAATACTATGCTGAATTGTTTCCAAAGCTGTATGTGACTGCCATCCAGTGGGTGCTCCAGTGTAAGCAGCTGTAACAGACCAGCCTGCAGTCTTAGCATGAAATACTAGCCTATCATTTTAATATAAGACACTTAATAAAAAAGGAATTACTAGTGTCAAATGATATTTGAAAAAAGTTATTACATTATTTAATGAAAATTAAATAGAACCTCTGCATACGCAGACGTTGATGTCATGAATTTGTATTAAATTACAGTTTAAAAATTATATTTAAGATTTTTCATTACAGCTACTTTTCTTTAAAAACTAATTAATTTCTTTTGAGCTTAGTATAAACATACAGTGTGGCTTTGAGTGTTACACAGATGAAAGTGGGTGGTAGTTTCTGAGGAACTTGCATTTTCAGTTCTCCAGTCACGTCACACCAAGGCAGACTGTCTTTATCTGAAGTTGCTTGGATTTAAGCAGAAGTTCAATAAAATGCTATTTCTTTTAAATTACTGTTCACTTAGATAATAAAACTAATCTTGATGGGAGTTCTGAGATTAACAGACGTATCAATCTAAGGGCAAACATAAGGCCTACATCACCTTAGGAGTCTTGGAAAAAAAATATATACACATATGCATATATTATATTCATCCTGTGGATATACCTACATCTGTATTGTTTTCAATCCAAGTCTGTGTGTGTGCACTGCTATAAAGTTAAGGGTTTTCTTTATGCTGAAGACATTTTATAAAAAAATATTGTCAAAATCAAATGGAATAATATACTGTAAGGTTTAATCTCACACCATCTGAAGTAAATACAGCTTTACTATTGACTTCAGTAATAGCAGGATAAAGAAGAGGATGTGTTATCATCATGATCAATGTTAGTATTTCTCTTCTGCATTATTATGATGATTTATCACTTGTTTGAAAAAGCTTCTCGAGTCCTCCACAAGGGCTTTTTGTGCTAATTTCTATAGTAATGCATTGAGTTATATTTGAGTTAAATTTATGCAAAAACATAGTCTATGTATGCATAGACTAAGCATGAGACCCCAAGAAAATAATAACAAGGCAGATGATTAGATGGAGTTCCTCCCAAGTACCCAAAGAGGATAACAAAGTAGGAGAAAGCACGAAGCTGATTATGAAAATCAAACAGGAGATATTACAGCTTTTTATTGGTGAAATGGAGATGATTATTCCCCTGCTAAAAGGTTAGGAAAAAACCTTACAAACAACATTTCAATATTTTTATTAATGTGATTATATTTATTTGTTTATTTTTTCAGCACAAAAGAAAAGGATCAGATTCGACTGGCAATTGTGTAATTCCTTAGGTTGATCGTGGCTACTCTTACTGCAATTCAGCTCCTTCCTTAGTGTGGCACTAGTGCTCTGCTGATCTTTTTCTGCCAGGTTAGGTCCTTGACCCAGGTTACTGTGGATCAAATCAGAGCTGGAGCAGGGACACACCATAGTGAACAGTGGATCCAGAGAAATAGGCAGGAACATAAACCCAGAATTTTTTACTGCCTTAGACTCTCACAGACCTGCAACCTCACTGCTCATGTGGAACACAGAAGGAGGCACATACCTCACCAGCATAATGTAAGGCAGAACTAAAGGTTTGCATTGTGCTTTGAGCTCTTCAGATGAAATATCTGTAGAGGTATAGTCAATACTGTTTTAGGAATCACTCCAAATCTGTTTTGTTGGTTTAATGCATTGATTTAGCCTGTTGCAGGTTTTTCTTCTTTAAATAAAGGTCAACTTCACCATTTTATGATAAAGTCTCCTTTTTTTGGGGGGGGGAGGGGGGGGAATTAAACTGTGATCAACATAAGATACAGAAAAAAAAAAGTGTTTTTTATCCTGTTTCAAAACTTCAATTCTTTATGTACAGTAAGCTTGTATATATACCTGAAAGCTGCTGTTGCTCTGCTAAATAATGACAGGGATAATTTAGCTTTCTCTAAAAAATACAAAAATTGGTATAAAATATAAATGAAAATGTAGATACATAATTCAAAATGTAACAGAAGCACTGATAAGGAAAAGGACACTATTTAGTCTGGCCGCCTTCAACTGAAACAATTCTTTGATACTTCTTTCACATATCTGTTGACTTTTTATTGCTCTCTTTAATAGATGAATTACAATAAATGTTAACAGAAGCAATAGCAAGTCATATAATGCCAAGTTATTAAAATTAAAGAGATCTATCTCAGGTACCTAAAGATGACTTTCACAGGACATTAATTTGTCCAATGTGTGGTGCCATATAATGGAAAACACCTATTTCATGTTAGGTTTTGACTTTTTTAGCTTCATCTTGGACTCTGGAAATATCTAATGGTTCTTTTGTTCTCTCTTTGTTTCTTTAATTCCAATAAAAATTATATCAAACAGCAATCCCACAGGCCAAGGAAGACACATGCATTCATCACTGGAAAGACACTATAGAAGAAGGAAATAGTTTCAATGTAAGCCAATGTAAGTAACAC